AGAAGGGAAAAAAGAAAAGGGGAAGGAGAAAAAAGGAAGAGGAGGAGGAAGATGCAGAAGGAAAGAGGGGAAGGAAAGGAAGTGGAGGTGGCAGTAGAAGAAGAAGAACATGCTCAAGAACGAAGGAGGAGAGGAAGACGGAGAAGAAAATAAGAAGAAAAAAGGGTGAAGGAGGAGAAGGAAGAGGGGGTGGCGGTAGAAGAGAAAGAACTGGTGCATGCTCAAATGAGGAGGAGAAGCAAAGGAATGAAGGAGAAAAGGAAGATGGAAGGAAAGGAGGAGAGGAGGGGAAGAGGAATAAAAGGCGTGTCTCCCCTTCCCCAGCATTTTCTTCCTGCTCTCAGGGTGCCCCTCTTGAGGCTCTGCCTTGCCCTGCCTCTTAGCCTGGGCGCCCCTCCGGGTGCAAAGGCCTCCAGGCGTCCACTGGGGGCGCCCAAGAACAACGGTGGGGGGCTCACCTGGACTTTGGCGGGAGAAGCAGCGCGGAGTGGACTCCGCTCTCGGGACGCTCAAGCGAGGAACATTCGACTCCCAGCCAGCAGGGGTCGCACCACGGGCGGAACCTTCCTGCTGGCCCCGCGCGCCGGGGGAGCGCGTCCGTTACAGGAAGAGTTCCCCATAAGCACTTCCAGTCGAGCGGCGCTGGCCTAACGACCGGGTTCACCACTCTACCGCTGGCGAGTCCGCTGGTAAGGAGCCGGGATGCGGCTGCTGCAGGGCGGGCTGGGCTTCCTGCTGCGCCCGGGGATCCGTCGCGGGCCCGGACAGCCTCTCTCTCTCTTGGAACAGAACAGAATCATAACAACCGGTTCTATAGTCTGAACTGGTAGAATCCCACCGCTGGCTGTTGGTGCCATCTCTCTGAGGTCAATAATTAGAACCCTCTAAAAAGAAGGCCTGGCAGGGAAAGAAGACAAGAATGAGAGGAGGTCTTGGATTACTCAATTGGGAGTTACATTATCAGGCAGTAATATTGATGTGGATGAAATAATAGATTGTTTTGAGAAATAATAGATTGTTAACATTGGAAGGCGATGATCTTCAATTGGGGTGGCATGCATTTTTATGGTATAAGGAAAGTAAAATGCATAGATACTTTCGGAGACATTATATTCAAGATGCTTTATTATCAACATGGGAGAAAATAAGAGAACAACACTATTTGAAAGTACCAGTCTGGTTATCAACAACAGAGGCATTTGCGTATCCAAATGTTTTTAAAATTGAAAATATTGTTAAATACACTGTAATTTTAAATGAAAAGGATGAACTCAAAATAAAACAAGAACTAGATGAACAAGAGATAAAGATGACTTGGTATTCATATATGCAAATACATTCTAGATATGAAAAAGATAGTAAGATGGGTTTTTACAAAGAATTGACTGAATTAGATAAAATTTTAACGTACTGAAGAGAGGATGATTACAAAAATTTATGGGTTTTTATTAGGAGTGAAATTAGAAGAAGAACAAGTTAAAGAAATGATGATTGCTTGGGGGAAAAATTTGGATATGGGATAGATTGAATAAATGGCAGAAATTATGGGCTAGAAACTATAAATTAACAATGTCAACAGCTTATAAAGAAAATTTGTATAAGATGTTTTACAGGTGGCATTTACCACCACCACCACCCCGGCAAGAATAGCAAAGATGTTCAAGGACAAATCGGCGAACTGTTGGAAATGTCATCAGATACCTGGATCATATTACCATATGTGGTGGACATGTGCAGAAGCTAAAAAATATTGGACTAAAATACACACATGGCTGGGAAAAATGATAAAACTGCATATAGATTAAAAACCAGAGATATTTTTATTGGGGATCCTATCTGAAGGTTATAGTAAAGAAATAACATATCTGATTATTAATGGGGTTTTTTTTGAACAAATTTTTATTAATTTTTAAAAACATACAAAACATACAAAAATATAAGACATAAAAACATAAAAGATCTCTTTTCTGAAAGTTGCTTAATCCCGGGTCAAAACTCTTGGTACAGACACACATTCAAATTCATATTCATTTTACATACCATTCCATATCTTATTACATTTTCATTTTTCTATATAGCTTCTCCTTTCTTTTAAATTTTCTCAATTTTATTTTATTTATCTCCTCTCAATTCAAATCATAATATTTATTATTCTTTGTCTGTTCTATTTCCAACTATCCGTTTATCTTTCTTCTTAAAAGAAAAAAAAGAAAAACCTTCTCCTGTACACTGATTGGAGTATGACGCCTATGTCTCTTTCCCCTATATTTATAATACTTGATTTAAAGTACATAACTTACGTTGGGATTCTGTCTGGTACATTCTGACATTATACAATATCATCAAAACCAATACAAATCTATTCATTAATATTAATATTTATTCATATCTTAAACATCTAGCACATTTCTTATCAATTAGGTCACATATTTCTATGGGAGCACCTATTTGCCATATTAATTCCGCCCCCCACATCACATATTATAAATCATTATTACATTACATGTTCCCCTCTCCTTCTTCAAACCTCTCATTTCACAAATAGTTTCACTAGTATAACATGGCCTAATCATTGGTATTAACAATCATTTATATCTTTAGACATTTTACCCATTTCAATTAATTATCATACCTTTATGGGAACACATCTTATACTTTCCAAAATTATTCCCCCCCACATCACCGATCTTAAATCATTATTTCATTAAAGTACTCCCCTCTCTTAACAAAAATTTCACTGAATTATACTAAATATTTTATCACATTTTAAATTGCATATTATTTCCAGTCTTCTATAATTATTTCTAAATAAAAAAATATAAAAATGCAATCTTATGTACCCTTCTAGAATCCCTTTTCCAATAAAATCTATCCATTATCTCTAAAAAAACTTTTGTTTTTTTGCATTTTGCTCCCCACCATTAAAGCTTCTCATCCCTTCCTTTCTCCCTTGCTTCTTCTTCTCCTTATCCTCTTTACCCCCTTGTCTCTCCACCTCCCTTTTATCCTGTTTTCCCCCTTTCTGTTGTTTCCTAACACGATATCCCCTTTTCACCTTATTCTTCTCTTTTTGGATTGTTTTCCCAGGTCTTAAAGTCTTCTTCTCCTTTTTCTCCACCTTCTTTTCTTCCCCAACCAAAGTCACTTGTTCTTCAAAAATGGCTTCTTCTTTATCTTGCTCATACGATTTTACATAAGCACAGACCGCCATTTCTATAAACTGAAAAAGAGTGCCAAAGACATCTTTCCCTTCTTGCTTTTCTCTTTCATATTTTTGGTGTATAAGTTCTAGTTCATCCACAACTGATGCCATTGTAGAGGGAAATTTTTTTTTCAAAACAACCACCCGAGTGCTTTTAGTCTGAGATAATTCTCATAAAATCCAAAATCATCAAACAGTCCAATCAGCTGATTCTTTTTAATACTTTCTCTTTTTCCACTTTCTCTTTTTGGGATAAAGTTTGATCACAAAGTTCTCTTTAAAATATATCTTTAGGAAGTCTTATTGCTGTTTAATAACTCTTTAAAATTAGCTCTTTAAAGTTTTAGGCAGTCTTCTCCTTATTTTCAGGTTGCTCCAATTTTTTTTTTCCCTCTCCCTTCCCACTCACAGCCAAAAAAAAATTCTTCTTTTTTTTTTCCCCTTTGAATATTCAGAAATCCTTGCTCCTTCAATATTCATTTACCTCCAGAACAGATTCCCGGATTTCTCTTATGGTTCCACTGCTGTCACGTTAGGGAGGAGAGTGAAAGGCAAAAAAAACAACAAAAAAAACTTGCCGCTTGTATCTCTTTCTAGAAACAAAGTATCCTTAGCAACCTTCGAGGTTACAGGGCACTCTCTCTTAACTTTATCCCAGTCAGAAGCAACTTCCACAGCTCTTCCCTCTTCCTCCAGCACAAATCTTACCCGGCTGCAGGCTTCTTTGAGGCGGCCATTACTGACCGCCGCTCCACCACCTCAGGAAAAAGGGGTTATTCCGGCTGGAAAGGGGGTCTGCGTTACCCCCAAACCTCTGTCCGGATCCCCTCTCTCTACAAGGCAGCCATAACCCCCAGACCTATTTAGATCGGGGGCACCTTGGCGGCGAGCGCGGCAGGGATCGCAGAGGCGCGAATTCCTGCCGCTACCGAAGCCGCGCAAAACCGGAAGGTTATAGTAAAGAAATAACATATCTGATTATTAATGTTTTAACTGCCTGCAGCTAGAATTGTATTTGCTCAAAAGTGGAAAAATGAGAAAATTCCGACGGAGGAGGTAATTAAGAAAATAATGGAATGTGCAGAAATGAGTAGAATAACATTAGCAATTAGAGAGCAAGAAGAAAAGGAGTATTATAAGATTTGGGATTTATTTTACCAATGACTAGATAGAAAGTAAGAAATTGAAATATATTGTAATAGTAATGATATATTATAATTGATTATTTTTGAATAAGTTATATTATGAATATAATTTAGTAAGAATTGAGAGTTGCTTTTAAAGATAGCCTGAAATTGAAATAATAATAATAATAATAATAATAATAATAATAATAATAATAATAA